GGGATGAGGTCCCCACCACCCACTGGGACCTCAGCAGCTCTGTAGGGGTCTGGAGGTGCTCCCTGCTAGACTGTGGGATGCTCGCAGGAGGATCTGTGACCGCAGCACTTGTGGGGCTCCTTCCCATGCCTGTGCCTGTGATCCCTGTGGGCAGCCAGCCAGACCTGCTGTTTGTCACTGGTTTTTTTCCCTTGTCTGTCTCTCCAGAAGATCTGTGTAGTCTGCAGGTTGGGTCCACATCTTCTTCAGCATGTGCTCCATGCCATACACCCAGTAAGTGTTTGTTGAAATCATGCATTATTCATTTTGGCTTCCTGTGCAAGCAGCCTAGGAAAAACACCAGTGCGACGTCAGTGCACATTAAATGAAAATACAGCCTGAGGAAAACTCCCGCCAACACAGAAGGTTGAGCTCAGCTTGGTTTAAAAGAGGAATGCTGTGTCTGTGGCTCTACTCAGGCTGAATGAAATTGGAGCCAGCTCTCTTTGAAGGGAACACTGAGACCCTTTGGACACTAGTGGACAGAGACAAGGAGGAGCAGCAACTTCTCCCTGCCGTCCTCGTCTCTCATGCAGAGTGAGGTTTCAGAGGAGGGAAGGGCTTACCCTCAGTGCACCCCATCTCAGGACATCAGTGGGCTCCAGGTCACCAGCGTGCACTTGAGAGAGAGCTGCAGACATCTAACCAGCAGTGCCTTGTCCCTGCATCCACTCTGAATTCCTGAAGGCCTGCTGACCACCGGAGCTCTGCCGTCCTCTGACACTAAGGCCACCCTGGGCTTTAAGAGAAAGCTACTTCTCCCACAGCATGCAGTGCAGCTTCCCCGAGCACCTGCTCAGGTGGCTTCTGAGCAGTGCTTTCACCTGCCCCCAAGCCTAAGATGGTGCTGTCTCTTTCTCCCCACCTGGGACACCATGGCCTCTGCCTGAACAAAGCAAGGGCTAGTCTCCCACTTTGCCACTTGCCCTCGGAGGGGAAAATGGCATCATCAACATATTCTCAGTCTCCATGGAGAAGGAGACGTGAGCAGAAGGGATCCCAAGGAGACATGGGACGCATGCAGGTCCTCTCCCAGGTTGGGGAGAGGCCAGAGAGCGCATTGATGCGTTTTCTGTTGTGAGTCACTCAATGTCACAGGAGGGATGGGATATGTATAAAGAACAGGCCTATGTGGGCTCACAGTTCTGGAGGTCCAAAGTCAAGAGGTCACATCTGGTGATGGCCTTTGGTTAGCAGAGTCCCAAATTGAGACAGGGTTTCATGCAGCAAGAGACAGGGGGCATATGTGTGTCCTGATCTGTCTCTCTGTCCTTAGAAAGCCACCAGGATTTGGCCATGGGGGCTGAGCTCTTATCTAATCCCAGTCACCTCCCAAAGGCCCATCCAACCACAGTCAGACAGATTAAGTTTCCACCCTTTAAGCCTGTGGTGCAGATTCGCCTGCGACACGAGTTCCAAAGACAGGATGGCCACACTAAAGCTGAGGCTCAGAGCAAACCTGCTGGAGACGAGCACACATGGCCAAGCAGCCTGGCCTGAGGTGGCTCTGGTCACCTGGCTCAGGACATAGGCCGAGTCTGTACACCACAGCCCCTGGGCTCGGATCTTACTTTGGGGATATGCCAGTCACTTCTTTTTGTAAATGAAGTTTCACTGGAATGAGGCCTGTGCTTACACATTGCCTGTGGCTGCTTCTGTGCCTCAGAGAAGTCATGACACAGACCCCACAGCTGGCAGAGCCTCACCGGGGCAGCCTGCAACCCACAGGGCCATGTGCTTTGGGATGCCTCAAGCATGCTTTCACCATCTTGAAGTTCTTGATCGTTCATTTTTGTCATGTCCTGGATTTGGCAAATTATGTAGCCAATTGTGCAAAAATATGACCTATCTGGCCCTTTGCTTTTCCAGCCCTGGCTCCTTGCACTCCTTGGCCTCCATGCTTCCAGAGGAGAGCCTCCCCTTTCCAGAGCAGCCTGTTCCATCTCTGGAAACCACACACCAGTTCTTCCCAGTCCTTCAGTAGTAATCCACCAGCTGTCACCATCGAGGGCCTTGACTCCTGGCAGGCTGGACCAGCCCACAGACTCTGGGCCTACCCAGAACTCATCTCATCCTTTCAACCTTCAGAGTCTTGAGAAAAGCACTTATCTTCTGCCCTTCCCCTCCAGCCATCTGTTCTCCAGCCCAAAACTGTTCTGTCTCCTGCAGGACATGTTTCCAGCTCCCTCGCCAACTTCCTCACCCTCCTTGGGAAAATATGATCTAGTTTCCCAAGACTCCTCATAAAGTATGGAGTCCAAACAGGGTTCTAAGTGTAGTCTGATCAGTGCAGAGCCATGTACAACAGTCACCTCCATCATTCTAGATGTTTTGTTTCTACCAATACAGCCTGTGTTTTTTGGAAGCCACTGCAAACATTTTCAATTATTTCTGATGGTAGGAAGAGACGGTATTCATATACTCATTATGCAGATGAATTAAACTCATCTGAGGGGTTGGCCTGCGATGGGCACATGCTATTCTTCTGTCTCCAAATCCCAAGCTCTCTCCTCCACCACCTCAGACTTTGGGGCCCTCAGTTTCTTCATCTGTACAGTGGGAATGCTGCATCTCTTTCAGCTCTAGCATGCTGTCATTTGTCTTACAAATACAGAGCCCAAAGCCAGGTAAGGGAGAAAATAGAAGCCCTTTGCCTGAATCTAACACTTCAGGAAGGGTTGAAGTGTGGCGCAAGTGGCAGAGCTTTTGCCCAGCATTGATGAAGCCTGGGTTCTAGCCCCAGTACCAATAAATGAACAAACAAACTCCTAGGATAAGCAAAACAATTTCTCTTCTGCTGATTGTCCCAGGTTTATTGCATGCGTGATAAGTCTCACTCACTGGCAGGTGCCTGAAGCCCCAGGTTTGACAGCACACTGACAAGTGGGCTCAGACCATCTTCCCCTTTCCTGTTATCTCCCCTCTTCGCACTCCACCTATTTATGTCTCCCTGCACATCTCATTTTTCTCTCTCTCCCCACTAGCAAGCCAAATGACAACCTGCCTTTAAAGCGAGAACGCAGAGTGCTTCATAAAACCCAGACACAAAGCAACTTAGGCAAGTTGCTCTCCTTCCTTTCCTGTTCCCTCAGTAGCCCATGGCCCAGGCTGATGACAGAGTTTCAGCTTTAGTGTTCTCTACAATCTTGTCCACCAAAACACAGGCCTCCAGTGAGTTTTCCCACTGTGTGTGAAACACAAGGAACACAAGCAGGATGTGCCTCCCATACTTGATGAGTGAGGACACTGAGGCCCAGAGATGGTAGGTGGCTGCCTCAAGTCACATGGCTGGTTAATGATAGGCTAGGAATAGACTAACAGTTCCTGGCTCAAAAGCTCTTCCCATAAGCCTCTCCTTTGGAAGCAGGACCATCATAAGGAAAGAGAACTGGCTTTTTCTGTCTCTATGCCTGTGGGTTCCTCTCTGCCCCTCTGATCCCAACCATCCCCCTGAACCACAGAATGCATGCATGGCCTTCTTCCAAAGCCCAACATGTGAACAGGTGCCCACCCACTGCCCTCAGCAGTGAGCAGAGCCACAGACTCTGACTGCCACATTAGCCACCAACTACTCACCAAGGCACCTTAGCACAAGCCAGGCACATGGTGAAACTCGACCAACGGCATTGCTGACAATCACTCTTTGTCCCAACACCTACGACTATGGAACAAGATACCCCCAAGTCCATTGAAAAGCCCATGTTCTCATGGCCTCTGCGATCAGATGTTCAGTCAGGCACAGTGGGAACAGAGCATCTCTGTTCCATGATATCTGGGACTTCAGCTGAAAGCACAAAGGTCAGCAGAATACCAAGGGCTGGAGTCATCCCAAGCCTTGTTCACTCTCATGCCTGACAGTGACCTGGGCTGACAGCTGGTCAGCCCAGAGCCCCTCCCGGAGGGGTCTCCTTATGGGCTACCCTGGGCTTCCTCTCAATATGGCAGCTGAGTTCCCAGAGAAGCCAGAGAAGAGAGAGCCAGGGAGCCGTGTCCATCCTACGACCTGGTTGAGAGACCCAGAGCATTGGTTCTGCTAAACCGTGTCAGTTGGAGTCCACTTGCCCAGGTTTGTGAGGAAGGAACATATGTACAGCCAGGTCCTATGAAGGAGCATCCTTGGAAAAGACCATCTCCGTCCTCGCTATTATCATCTTGTTAGCAACCGTGTTAATCAGCGTTCTGATGCTATAGCAAAATACCTGAGATAAACAGCTTAAAAAGAGCAAAGGTTTCTCTTGGCTCACAGTTTTGGAAGTTTCAGCCCATGGTCACTTGGCTGATTACTTTGGGCCTGTGGAGAGGCAGAGCATCATGGTGAGAGAGTGCAGCATATGGAGCCTGTTCACCTTACAGCCGGGTGCAATACAAGCAGAAGAGGAAGGGGCCGGGTCCTGATTGCCTCATATCCAGGACATGCCGTGCCCACTGCTCATATGGAGGGGCTGGGCAGCCAGGCAGGCAAGTGCTTCCTGGGGACATGGAGGGGCTGGGCAGCCAGGCAGGGAGGTGCTCCCTGGGGACATGGAGGGGCTGGGCAGCCAGGCAGGGAGGTGCTCCCTGGGGACAGAGCAAAGGCACCCCCTGCGTTCTCCTCTCCTCTCTCTGTCTTATCTCCAGCACCCCCTCCCCAACACACAGCCCATAACTCTCCCACGTGGGGAACCCACAGAAATGGGAAACCATCAGACCTGCCCCAGGCCACCAAACAGCAGGCTAACGATCGGAGGAGAAACTTTTAAAAAGATAACTTTTTAGTTCCAAGTTCTTTGAACCTCCTCCTCTCTCCTCTGGAGCAGTTAGAGCCCAGGTTGTTCATGATCCTGTCCCCATTTACAAGTGGGGACATGGTGGCCTAAAGAGGTGACATGTTCCCTAGGTCACACAGCCCGCAAGAGGCAGAGCTGTGGCAGGCCCACCTCCCTTCTTGGGCAGCCACTCCCCAGAGAAGCCCAAGTGCTGACAGGGTGGCAAACCCCAGGGCCCCTGGGAGCACCACCCACCTCCCAGGGCACAAAGCTGCCAGGCCCAGCTCCCACGCGAGTCCCAGGGCTGTGCGGCCCCCTTTAAGGAGTGCTCTGCCATCCAGAAGCACTCCAGTCTTAATTTTAGCTTGGAGGCCTGCCACCACAGGCTTTAACCAGAGAGCAGGCTGAAGTTATGCAGGACAGCTGTCCCTGGTATGCTGGGTGGGGCCTATTTAGCCTGCGGGGACACAGGCCGGGGACCCCGAGCGGCTCTCCGCCCCAGTGTCCTCAGCCCTTCACAGTGTGGATCACCTCCCTCCCACAGAACCCCCAACCCTACCATGATGGCGGAAGAGCACACGGACCTGGAGGCTCAGATCGTCAAGGACATTCATTGCAAGGAGATTGACCTGGTGAACCGAGACCCCAAGAATATTAACGAGGACATCGTCAAGGTAGGCTCTCAGGAAATGGCCCTGCCACTATCTGTTCCACACCCCTCAGACAAACCCTCCAACCCACATGGAGAACCCCAAAGAATCTTTAGCACAAGCAACAGCCCAGCTGCCCATATCAGACCCAAGTGTCCAGCAGGCACGTAGCACTCAGACCTGCCGCTCCCCTGGCCCTGGGCCAGGGAGGAAGGGAACTGGCGGCCCAGCCGGCTCTGGTTGGTGCCAGGGGCCTGCTGTGGTCTCCTCAGTGGGTTCGGGTCAATCTCCACTGAGCTTCCCACAGGCCTAGTGGCCTCTTGAAGGGATCTTTAAGCACAGCCTGGTGTCTGTCCCCATGGTGGCCTAGCCCCAGGTGCTGGCCTCACCACAGGCATGGTGGCCTCAGCAGGCGAAGGCCTCACAGAGGCACTCAGTTCCCCAAGAGGGGAGCTCAGTGTTGTCCAGCCTTAGAAAAGTGGCCTCCAAGGCCACCGCTTGCTGACACGTGCAGCCTGACGCCTCCAGGCTTGCTCCTGCAATCCAGACTCCACCTGAGAGTCAGCGGGGTCTCTAAGGCAGAATTCCTCCAAACAATGTCCCCAACAGCCAGCGTCAGGGTCCCTGGAGGGGATGTTAATGGGGGGGCTCCGGCCCTACTGAATACTCAGAATCTCAGAGCAGCGCTGCCCCCTAGAAATACAGGTGTGATGTGACACCCTATGGACGTTTAAGTATAAGAAGTGACAGTCATTTCTTATTACCAAGGATTACTGTACATGATTGGAGATACTAGACTCTTTTTGCACAATAGTCGCATGGCAGTTTACTTTTAAATGTTTACCTTTATAAAAATGGGCTATTTTTGAACTGTAGTTATAGTAGGTTGACAGAAAAATTGAACGGAAGGTACAGAGATGCTCTACGTAGACTCTGCCCCAGAGTTTTAAGTTTTCTAGCAGTCATAGTTTAAAAAGGAAAGCAAGTTGAGATGAACTTTTCTGATATTTTTCATTTAATTCTGTATATTCCAAATAGTGTCTGTTCAACATATAATGCACATAAAACCACTGCCAGCGAACTGCCCCACGGTCTTTCTTTGTCTTTGAAGTTTACTGTGTCTTGTACTAAGAATGCTCTCAGACTCATGTTTTCATCAGAAATGCATTTTATATATTTAGAGTTCCTAAAATTCACAGTGGAAAATGGGCTCACATGACCAAATTGTTCTAAACAGTCTTAAAAGTTTTCCAATAACAGAACTGAGTATCTGTTTTTCTGTTGAAACTCAAATTAAACAGAATTTAGAAAGCTTTGGTCACACTAACCACATTTCAAGTGCTCAGTGTGGCCAATGGCTTGTCCTAAGGTTCTGTCCCTCGGTGGGGCTCCTCCCCTTCCAGGTAAAGTCTACCCTTTACATATGGCCTCCCAAACCCAATGTAATACCAATCCGGCCCCACCAGTTTCTTCTGCCCAGCTTGCTCACCCCCCAGAACACACCCCTTCATCTTGGGCAGGAGTGCCCACCTTCTCTCTGTGCCTGGTGAGCACCCAGGTCCACCTTCAAGGCCCACTTCAATGTCACCTCTTCCAGGAAGCCTCCCAACTCCTCCAGGCAGTCAGTGGCTCCCTTCTCACTCACTCTTCACTGCAGCATCCCATGTAAAGTCTCACACTATGCTGCGTCTGTATCTACAGGAGTTATAGTGGTGGAGACTGGTAATATATCACAGCATAACAGGAAAAGCTGAAATGAGGAAACTGAAGAAGCAAAGTTTTCAAACTACAAAGCACTAAGAAATGTGAGACACTATTAGTTTCCTCAGAGTCGCTGTAGGGACAGCCCAGGCCTGATGTTAACAGGTCCAATTTCAAATCCAGGCCCTTCAACCTAAAAAAAAAAGCCTGTCACCAGGTTTTCTGTGCCTCTGCTTCCCTGGTAAGATGGCAGTGATATAGTTTACCTCCCCCAGGCAAGTGAGTCTCAGCAGCACTGTCACGTGCAGATGCATGAGGGGAGGGGTCTGGAAGTGTGTGACAGTCCCCAGCACAAGCAAGGGTGGCAGTGCCAGCTGAATAGGGGCCTCCAGGACCTTCCCATCCAGATGGCAAGAGTTGAGCCATGGGCCACCTCTGAGGTCCCTGGTCGGCTGCTAGGGAATAGAGACGAGAGCCTGTGGGAGAGATTGGTTTCTTAGGAAGAAACCAATGGGTTCTGAGTGCAGAGGGTTGTTAGGTCCCTGCTGAGCCAAGAGGGAGCCAGCTGCAAGCCCCAGGCCCAGATTGTCACTCAGAGGGAGAGGTGGGGATGGGAGCACGGCAGTCCAACTACATGCAGCCTCCTTGGCACTGAGAGACATCTCCTCCTGGCAGCTCTGAGCCCCAGAAAAACATAACCCATGAGGCAAACCACAGATAATTTTGTCAAAAGGAGATTATTCCTTGATATTGTTTGGACAGTCTCTGCTTTGAGAAGTTTTCTTTCTTTTGCTTTTAATGAGAAAGAAATTAAAAGTTTAGGAAGACAGAGCAAGGATCATAAAATCAGTTCAGATAAACAACACAGTCCAGCTTGAGGAGACTTCAGGTTTGCATTATGCTTGTGCCTGTCACAGAAGAAGGATAAGGAAGAAAGAAGGGAGGGTAGGGGCAGCCTATCTGAAGAGGGTGGCCTCCTGACTGCCTCCTGGTGACCAGGGGGAAAAATAGAGGGTGGAAAGAAGGATGAGTGAGGGAGACAGATGGGATAAGGCAGAGGCTGAGATAATGACTCAGAAGGCCCTGGCAGTGCCCTGTGTGGCCCATGTCAGGGTGGCCTCACAAGTGGCAGCAGGGTCTCATGGACTAGGATGAGTGACAAGGAAAGAATCCAGGAATGGGACCTAGCTTGAGACCCTGGTTCTTGTCCTGGTGCTGATACTAACTTGCTGTGTGATTCTAAGTAAATAACTTGCCCTCTCTGGACCTGAGTCCCTGGTACAGACACAGGCTAGTGGAAAAGAAGAGACGTGGTCCCCTCTTCCATCAGCTGTTCAGACTTCTCACACTGTTTTTGTGCCAAGGAAGAAGAGCGGGGCGGGGGGGGGCGGCGATAGACCCACCACTGACATGGATTTGAACCCCCACAGAAGGAAAGCACTGCCCTTGAAACCAGGCAGGAAAACCAGGGTCAAAGGTGGAATGAGAGCCCTGTCCACCCAGCAGACTTACACCCTGTGGTCTTCAAGGCTCTGCTGGGCCCAGGGCAGAGCAGAAGGCAGTGGAGGTAAGGGCTGAGGAACAAGGGAGAGCTCGCCCAGCTTCCTTCCCCACCCACCCTCTTCAACATCAGAGTGCCTGCTGTGTGCTGGGCACCCTGCTGTCAGAGGGGATGGCAGAAGCTGCAAACACACCCCATGCCAAGCTCTGGGGACATGAACGTGTATCCAAGGCTCTGGGGCCCTCAAGGATACCTCCTGTAAACGAGGCTTCAGCGTGCCTAGCCATGCGTGCCTCAGGCCCCATCCCCCAGCCATTCTGACAGTGCTCATGGCTGGTTTCAGAGCCTTCATCCCCAGCTTGTAGACAGGCACCTGGGCCCTCAAGCAGCCATACTTGGCCCCAACTGTCATGGGGCAACTGCAGCTTCCAGACTCAACTTGTCTAACCTCAGGGGCTCCAAGTGGGCCTGTCAGAAAGGCAGAGAGACAGAAGGGGTCCCAGTCCTTCCCATCACACGAGTTCCCATCCCTCCTCCAGCCATATCTGCCACAAAACACCTTCCTCTGCCACACAGCACCCTATCCCATGCTGAGAAATGCCCAGAGGAGCCAGTGCCCACCTGTTCTACAAAATCCCCTTCCCAGTTTGGGACGATCTGAGGCACCCTACTGCACAGAGATGAAAGTGACCCCATACTGCTCCTTGGGAAGACTCCAACCAGCAGAGACTAATGAGACCAGAAAAATGAGACCTTGAAGGCGAGTGTTCTGGAGGTTAGGGAAGGAAGAAGTTACTGTCACTGGGGGGAATCAGGAGTCAGCATCCCAGGAAATGGTATCTGAGGGACATTTTAAATAATGGAGGCTGGGGGGATGGGCTTTCCAAGAAGACACAATAAACAGCAATGTGGGGAGAAGAACATTGGGCAGAGTTGGCGACCGTGGGGACAGGTATTGTCACTGCCCCTTCCTGTGTGTGTGGCAGACACGACCAATGGATCAAGCACATCCAGGAAGCCAGGGCCCATCAGCTGGTCAGAGCTGGCACAACAGATGAAGCCCCTTGCTTCTCTGCCTACAGGAGAGTAAGGAACCCTCAGATGAGAACAGGACAGAGCATCAAAAGGGAATCTGGGGTGAGGAGGCAGGAAGGGCAGGCTGAGGCTGGATCAAAGTTATCCAAGCCCCCTGTCATTCCACGCTGGCATTTCCTGCCCTGTGTCACTGACCTCTGGAAAGGGATATGTTGAACCAATACTGAGTTATTCTCACTGTGATGGTGACTTCTGGGAATCAAGTGGTCTAGAGTTTTTGAAATACTGTCTGCTTTCTTGGAGAGCTAGTTAATACAGGTTCCTGGGCCCTGCCACCAGAAGTTCTGTTCATGTTTGAGTGTTGGCAAATATGATATGCACAGCCTACAAAAGACACACCCAGAGTTGTCATCCACTTTCCCTGAAGACACACTGTATCAATTATCAATTGCTATGTAACAATCACTGCAAACCTTGAAGGATCACAGGATTCTGTGGTTGGCAGGGCTCACGGGGCCCTGTAGGTCTCCAGGGAGCTGCTCAGGCAGTTGCAGTCACATGGTGGCCTGGGGCTGAAACCTCCTGGGCAGTCTGAACTGGAACATCCAAGATGGTTCATTCATATGCCAGGGCGCTGGAAGAGACAGCTAGAAGGTGGGGTTCATCCAGAACACAAGGATGGCTGGGCCTCTATCTCTCACAGTCAGGGTCTCTCCCTGCACATGGCCTCTCCACCAGAGCAGGGTATAAAAGTAAACTTGAAGCATGGCGGTCCGGGTCCCAAAAG